ATATTATATTCAATAGGTTAGTGAGTGACTAAGGTTGCTAATTACCGTTGAAGATTTTATGTCCTACCGGATAAAAACGTTTTCAAATAGATTTTCAATTCCAAGGTGATCATTCAATAGGACAGAGTCTGCTTTTTTAATCTAAGCAAGGTCGAACTTTTTATCATATATCGTTCCAAACTTATTCTTGTTACACTGAGTGTCTGTAACGTGTCAAAAATATGATTTCTTTTTAGAGAGAAGAGTCTTTTCATTGTTGGTGAATGCGGATTTTCGACTACTCTGAGTCGCATAACGACGAGTGATTTGTCATTTACGACGGAACCTCTTAAGGTGTTAATCACGGATTCGAAGGGGAGATATACCAGCCGATAGAGCTCGACGAGCTGGTCACAGCGGTGATAAAATTTTTCCCCCATAGAATCTTCTTATATAATTTTAAGATCAAATTAACTCTATGGAGTCATATTTCAGCAAGCTTTTTCGTCACTATTGTAAGGGTAAAACACAATGATATCTGGGTCGATCATGGGTTTGGAGGGGCTCTTTTTCATATGGCCCAAACAACATTATGTTTTGCTCTTACAATAGTGGAGATCGTCTGAGCCAATTAGACTTCAGGAAAGGTTTTTATCTACTATCCTAAGGACAAAACATGGTGTTGTTTGGGCCATATGAAAAAGAGCCCTCCAAACCTCTGATCGACCCGGACATCACCATGTTTTACCCTTACAATAGTGACGAAAAAGCTTGCTGAAATCTGATTCCATAAGGATAATTTGTTCTTAAAATTATATAAGAAGGTTCTATGGGGGTGAAAACGTTTATCACCACTGTGATCAGCTCGTCGAGCTCTATCGACTGGTATATCTCCCCTTCGAATCTGCCATTAACACCATAAGAGGTTCCCTCGTTAGACATAAATCACTTTGACCACCACTATGTCCTATCGCTTTCTTCTGAATCTGATACAAATGACGCTGTCCACCATGTATTCTCGCTTCAAATGTACTTTCTCTTTTCTATGTTTCTGCCTATTGGCAAGAAAGAAAGAAACGATAGATTTTTTGGGTAATTCAAGTTCATCTACATATGTATATATATATCGTATTATTACTAACTCCATTCTTCCACGTATTTAAATCATGGCCCAAGGGCTTCATTTCACTCGTAAAATCAAAGAAATATTTTTCTATGTTATTGACTTCGTTGAAATTGAAAAAAACGGACCATGTATTTCAATGAATAATTTGATTGCGCGCATTTTAATAATGTTGGATATTTCTGAGTCTTCATTATTTAATTTGAAGAAGGAAATGAAGGCAATACGTGACTTACAAGAAGTGCAAGTGAATGATGAAGAAGAGAAGCGCTTACGGCTTTGATCAGCATCACAAACCCAATCGACGAATATTTCACACGAAAAGCAAAACATTTCAACCTGGTCTACGTCTTACGGAATGAGAACGATTCAACTGAAGGTTCCTAGTAAGATTCCAGGACGTCCATCAATTCAATTATCCGAAGAAGCTGATGATGAGATCCGATTTCAGTTCCATCTATTGTTGGCAGAAAAAATTTATGCTACCATCGATATTTTCCTTGAACATCTTCTCGCAGCTCATAAAGATTTTCCAAGTTCGTTCACAAACAGCTCTTCTGCGACATATGCATCAATTATACTTTTCCTATCAAATGACAAACAGAGTAAAGGTGGCACTTGACGATAACTCTATCGTTGCTCAACGTGCTTTTTATTTCCGAACCTTAATAAATTGCGAGAAGCTGGTGCTTTAATTTTGCTTCACGACGAAACGTGGGTGAATGTCGGTGAGGAAAAAAAATTAATCTGGGTTGATGATTCTGGCAAAGAAAGGCTTAGAAAAACAGATGGAAAAAGTATCACACTAACAGTTCTGCCCAATATAATATATATATATATTTTATGTAGGTGCTCGTTTGCGAATATCTGCTATGATCGACAAGGGTGGTTTTCACTTGCCTTCTGTTGAGATCTTCGACTGTTCAAAAGATCATTCAATGACCTCAGCATACTTTATTGAATGGATTAAAAAAGCAGCTTTTCGTCTGAGAAAGGATAATGGTAAATTTTGCTCAAATAAGAATTTCTTAAGTTTTATTTTTGAAATAAGATCAAAATCGACGAATAGTCATAGTCAATGAGAATGCCATATGGCATTCAGAACTTACGGAAAGTTCTCTGCCAAAAGATCGATACGAAAAGATCAAATAGTTGAATGGTTGGAAAATCATGGAATTCAATTCGATTTGACATTAAAGAAATCGGAATTGTTAGAGATTGCTTTGGAGAATAAACCCGTAAAAAAATATAAAGTATGGATAGTTTTATAATATTCGTATGTTTTGAACTTATGTTAATTAGGTCGACGAGGTTGCACAAGAGTTCAACGTAGAAATTTTGTGGCTGCCAGTACGACATTGTTCATTAAATCCCATCGAGATTGCTTGGGCTGGATTAAATGATTATGCTCGTAAAAACAACACTAGTTTCTCGTTGACCAACGTTTATGAATTAGTCTCCGAATTTATTGCTGGATTCGATGACAAAGCCGCACAAGATGCAATTCGTCGTGCTGAAGAAGTGGGAACGCTGTACAAAGCAGCAGATGAATTTTTAGAAAATACTGTTGAGCCACAGTTAATCGACGACATATCGGATACCGAGATTGATAATCTTTCGGATACTAGCAATGATAGCACGCAATTTTGACTTTATTGCTATGCAGTTTTTTTGTACAGTAAATTCATAACCATTGAAAACATCGGCAAATAGAAGCGAGAATGTATGGTGAACAGCGTCATTTGTATCAGATTCAGAAGAAAGTGATAGAACATAGTGATGGTCGAAGTGATTTATGTCTAAATGATAAATCACTCGTCGTTATGCGACTCAGAGTAGTCGAAAATCCTCATTCACCAACAATGAAAAGACTCTTCTCTCTAAAAAAAATCATATTTTTGACACGTTATAGACACTCAGTGTAACAAGAATAAGTTTGGAACGATATATTATAAAAAGTTCGAGCTTGTGTAGATTAAAAGAGCAGACTCTGCCCTATTGAATGATCACCTTGGAATTGAAAATCTATTTGAAAACGTTTTTATCCGATAGGACATAAAATCTTCAACGGTAATTAGCAACCTTAGTCACTCACTAACCTATTTAATATAATATACATTTGCTCTCGAAAGGACACTCTTTCTAATGCTGAAAAGACAAGATTGCTAGCTGGATCCGTTCGCGAGATATTATTAACAATTTTCTCCATCTATTTCTGGTGCCGACATTAGTAGCTGCTGAACAAACATCAATGTCATAAGGAGTTAAACCAGAAAAAAAGAGATCGAAGAAATACGTGTTCAACAGAGAATGGCTGAAAATCGTCGAATATCAATATTTTTTTAGAAGAATATATATTTGATCTATCTCAAGCAACATGTATTGTCTGTAATCAACGGTTTTCTGTAGAGGAAAACGATCAATTTTTGCAGAGCGTCAACTACTATCTAGTTAGGTCACCGAATGCTAAGCTGATTTTCATATATGTGATGTAACTTTTCATCCTCTACAATATGTATTAGAACAATATGCTCGTCGGCCGTTTTTGTCTGTTCTGTTTGCTAATGCAACGCTAATGCTTATCTTTGTTTTTCTCCTCTATGTATACGTATGCGTCAATTGGGAAGAATTTGTCCATTCTGACAAATTATTCATCCATGCGATTTAACGTTTGTAATACTGTTAGGTCATAAAAAGAAGCAATGCACTGTAGTGCTGCAGTGTGATTTTATCCCACAAATCATTAACACAAAATGATGTTCCCTGAGTAAAATCCCACAAGTATTGTTGTTGAGTTGCAACTGTTTTTTTCTCCCACTATTCGCCTATAGCGAGCATTCGTCATATGAGTGGGAAACATAAATTTTCTCGTTGACATGGTAGAACTTAATGTATAAATACAGTGCAGACGACTTCATGGCTAACACAGAAAACAGTTTCCACTCTTCTTTCTTTTCACAATCTGTTGTGATAAAACACGATGCATACAACGACAATGCTCATGATCATCGGTGTTTTCACATTCCTCATGCTCGTTCTTGATTCAGCTCCAAGTGGTGACACTTTTACCACTGATAACGACAATGCACGCAGTCCAAAACGCCAACTCATCGGTAACCACGACCAAGCCGCACATCAAAAGCGTACAATCAATGACAAAGACTGTATCCTCTCCTGCATTCACCAAGGCGGTAGTCGTGAAAATTGCTCGCAAAAATGTGATATGTCCCTATGGAAATATATTTGGCTCAATTACATTTAGAAAAATCATTTTTCTCTTGAATCTGCAATTGAGTAAGTGCTCGTTGAAAAGTGCGAGTATTTATTGAAATAATCAAGAAAAATTTAGTTTTTTATTATGTGTATGATGGGTTTACAATTTTTGATAATAAATAAGTTGTCATAATTCACCTAGTAGTGATATCTCACTGAGCACAAAGAGTGTGAAGTATAGAATATGTTGATCGGTAAACGTCGCGAGTGTTGCTGTTGAATTAGCAAATGATTGACTTCGTCCATCCGTCATTATCGACACTTGATCTGCGTTACACGCCTGAGGGTCAAACATGAATGTGTACCAAATTTCAAAATATTTATGTTCGTATTGTTCTTTGATGGCAGTGCAACTATTCGATAGAAAAGATCAAGTTGTTTCTGTATCTAAGTGAGGGTGCACTAGCTGCTATGACAAGGGGGAAAGAACTGGAATCAGATTTTTCTTTGATTTAACTGATTATTTTGATTAAAAATCGAGGACAGACACTTAGTTTTTTATTTTATTTTTGATCAATTTTAAATCAGCCATCATCGATGTCTTGAGTCGCTATGCCATAACCCTCTAGATATACTTTTCACGTGCTCTTATGGGTGCATGCCTACAGCTCTCCCTGTGTACCTTTTCATCTGTCTTTATTCCTATACTACTATGTCTATATCCTCATCACTATATCCTTATGTGTATAGCTTCACTACTATAGTCTTCAAATAGTCTCCTTTGCGCTTCTACTGATGTTGTTTTCTTTATAAACTCAACCTCATTCTTTTATGGAGAGTTGTTCATGTTTGTTTATGTAATTTCAGCTCAATTGACCATTGAATTAGCATAGTATTCTTTCAAAATATCATTTTATTTTCATGTTTCTTCAGTAGTATTGATCGTTATCTAGTATTAAATATTTATATCTAAACCGATAAAACTTATTTCTGCTCCTCTATTGCCTATATGTTTATGGCGAGATAGAGATACGTCCGGTGTTTTAATGAAAACAATTCGTGTAGAAAACTTTTGATTCTAGAGTAAATCGAGCAAAATCGATAAATGCGCATCTTCGAATAAATTTCGCATCTAATCTTGTATGATCATACAAAATTCATATTATCAAATCTTATGTTTCTTTGGAAATAGAACTTATCTAATCGTATATGATCAGGCTGATGTTGTGGTATCTGTTTTTGTAAGATTTCCGCTGACATCTTTTATTCAGAATCTGAGAAAATCTTTAAACAAGTGAATCTATACGATATTGTCGGCTATTGTGTCAAGGTCGTATAAATAATCTTGAATGAGTCAGATCTTATAAGATCTTTGCACGTTCTGACATCTGCTTTTTTAACCTGGATGCCGATATTCTGCACTTTTTTAGTCGATACTCGGATCGAGTTCTATTATTGATATGGCGAATGTTTGATTCTTCTATTATATAATCATTAGCATAGTTATACGTAATTGTAGATTTGACGATTTATTACTTTGCTACATATCATGATTCGCTAATTGAGATGAGAAGTAACTTTGAAAAACTTGAATGAGCAACCAAATATCACGGTTTTCTAATTTGAAGGTTATGAAATTGATCCAACCAAGCTTAAGAATTATTAACTGTAGTGCAGATCTAAGAATTGAGATAAATTTCAATTAAAACAAGAAGTTAGTATACTCCTTTTTTTGATGCATCCATCTTTCTCCGAACAGAAGATATCTAGAGCAGCGTTAATTATGCAAATTCAGAAATGATTGTCTTCACTGATCGATAAGAAAAAATGTTTGTTTTTTGAAAGCAAGATCTAATATGTACTGTAGCTTCGCTTCAAAGCTTCCAAATTTCTCTAAATCAATAAATAGAGCATACAGACACACGAAAATTAAGTGAAATTTTATGCAAGACGTAGATATATTTTATTCATGACAACAAAGGAATTGACTTTTTTTATTTGTATCGAATCGAATTGAAATCAGCAAAACTCCTTTCGATTCGGTCTCAGTTTTCCATTTTCAACAGATTCAACGTCAAACTATACATTGCTAATGTTGTTCTTTTCTCATTTCATTCTTGTCAACAAATAAGACTTCTCCAACAAAGCAGAATTTCTTTGACTTACACAAAGGATTCTATAGTGTATATCAGTCTTTTTGTTTTTCGATTTTTCATAATGAAATAGCTGCCACAAATATAAAAACTTGTATGCAATCACACACAAATACAAAATTCAAAACCAAAAATATTAAACACACAGAGACAAAACCAGGATCATTGGTACATAAAAATGACACTTTTACCCATCATTTCGTTCCTGAATCATATTTAATTTGTAGTAAGCACCTTTATGACACATTAAATCATTGTGTGTACCACTTTCTTTGACACGACCACGATCAATAACAACGATTTGTTCTGAATCACGTATAGTTGATAGACGATGAGTTATTGTCAAACATGTCCGACCATTTCTAGTTCTATTGAGAGCATCTTGAACAAGTTTTTCACTACAAACATCTAATGCCGATGTTGCTTCATCGAATAAAAGTAATTTTGGCTGACGTATAAGTGCACGAGCAATGGCAATACGTTGCTTTTGACCACCACTCATTTGATTACCCTTGAAACCACACAATGTATCATAACCCTGTAAAAAATTTTCGTTTGATATTTAAAGTAACTATTCAAATGCAATTTTTATGTTGATCTTACTTGAGGCAATGAAATGATCATATCATGAACATTAGCTTTTCGTGCTGCTTCTTCAATTTCTTCTTGTGTTACTGTCCTTGTATTGACACCATAAGCAATGTTATCACGTATACTTAAATTGAAAAGAACGGGTTCTTGTTGAACAAGACCGAATTGTGATCGTAACCACGATATATTCAACGAACGAACATCATGACCATCAAGAAGGACTGCACCACGATACGGATCGTACAGACGAAGAACCAACGCCGCACATGTACTCTTCCTATGAATCACAAAAGGTCGTCAGAAAATATTTTCTATGAGAAATCAAGATTTAACTTTAGTTACTTACCCGGAACCACTCCGTCCAACAAGTGCTGTTGTTTGATTTGCTGAAGCACATAAATTTAAACTTTTGAGTATACGTAATTCGGGCCGTGACGGATAGGCAAATTTGACTTGTTGAAATTCGATATAACCGACAATATTATTCTTGTTTAAATACAATGCAAAGTTCGAGTCAATCAAATAATACTACTAGATAGAAATTGAGTTTACTTACTAATATAGTACCATTCGTATTGCTTGGATCGATTTGCGATCGACGATTGTTCAATGTCAATATTCGCATAGCACTAATCTTTCCTTTAGTATAGTCTGGTATCATAGCTGTTGATCTAAACTCAAATGATACATCGATGTAGGCTTTTTTTAAATAAATTTACCGTCCGACACTTGCTGCACCAAACTTAATTACAGAGAAGACGCTAAAAAATGAATTGAAATTATTTTAGTCAATTTTTGATTCATTATAATTCTGATTTTCTAATATCTTACCGAAATACATTTTGAAATTGCATCTCACTTTTTTCGATCAAATAACCTCCATATCCAAAAGCAGCAGCATGAAGGAAAAATAATAACGAATTGGCTATAGCTGTACCGAGTGCTTGCAATGGAATGACAATCATCGATTGTCTATATTGAATTAAGTAAGATTAGATGTAGTCGATTGTTCTTTTTGTTTAAATTTCACTTACCTAAACGCTTTATTCAAATTATTTTCATACTGAGTGATAAAATGCTCCTCCTGATGAAGTCCGACTACTGTTCTAATAAGATCAATCGCTTCGGTGGCAACCTAAACATCGGAAAAATCCATATTTTAGCATATCGAAAAAAATAAAATTCAAATCCAGTGCAGTTTTAATTGTAACATGATAATGATTCAAAGATAATCGATTCAATATGGTTCTCAAGGTAATGGGAATTTGAAGTACAATCGATTTTTTGCATGCAAGT